GAATGCATAACAAAGATAGGAAAACAGGAGTTTTGTGTTGTTATGCTCCCCGACACACTCTGCAGAGACATGAAAAACGGACTACACATGGCATAATAGCATATATTTGCATATAGGTATCATCTTGAATATATGATAGCGTTTTTCTCATTATGCACCAAAGATGTTCCAAGCCCTTTTTTGCTAACCTTCTGCCTTTATCTCAAAAATAGCCAGTTTATTCACTTACATATGCACACATCTTCATCAGAATCTGATGACTGCCGAAATTCCAAGCATTCCAATGGAAGCTCTGTATCAAAGCATTTTTCAAACAAATGAGTTCTCAACATTCCCCTGGCCATCCTGGGCAATTGAAAACCCGTTCTCCCTAACAAAATAAGGTTGCCCAATCACTCTATCACTGAGCAGGGCTGCAGTGAGGTCAATGGGGCATTCAGACTATTGCTATTTTTCTCTGGGATTGAATCACCACCCACAAATCCAGGTTGCACAATGAAAACTGAATCGGCTCTCTTGCACAACTAACCCACTTCCCCCCAAAAAACAGACTTTTTGCAATGAAGAAAGTGGTGATGCAATGCACTGCAAAGTGTGAGGGACTGATTGCTTAGTAAACAGCCCGTGCCATCCCCATAAACTGAGCAAACAGCTCAGGATGAACGCTTAAAAAGCAGGTTGGCTAGAAGTAACATTTGATGAGAAGCCATTATTTATTATGGTTATTATTTCAATTCCTTACCCACCCTTCACCATAAGGTCCGGTGGAGGGTTACAGCAGTTTAAAAATACAAGATTAAAAGCAGCTTAAAGGAAATTAGTCAGAAGAATATGTCAGGTCATGTATACAGGGTTTTTTTCAGCCAGAACCAGTACTTTTCCCCCTCAAAAAAATGTTTAGGGGTACTCTCATTTTCCTGCTCATATTGAAATACTGCCCCTCAATGAGGCCAAACTTAGATTGACAAAATGTTTAGGGGTATGTGTACCGCTGCATTCCCCCAGAAAAAAAAGCACTGGCCGGAACTTAATTCTGGCAACTCTCTGTTGGGTGCCATTGCCATTCTAAGAGAACAAGGGTGGTGTTCATGGTGCGTTCCAGAACCTCTTTTTCTAGAAAAATAGCAGTGCGCAGATAGATAGAGGGGGAATGGGCAGAAGTGGTTGGGGTCTCTGTGGGAGTCTGGAAACATCGGGGGGACAGTCTTTGGAGCTCCATTCTGCCCCCCCCCCATTGACCACCTGAGGCCAGTATTCAAAGTTCCCTTTTTTGTATTTTTATTAAATATTTTCTTGATTTACAGAAGTCTGTGCAATGTCTCTCTCTTGTGTTTTTTCCATGTAACATTTTTACAAATCAGTTTCATTTGCTCTAGGCACATTTTGCAACACGGAATTTCATTAGCACGCGCCGTTTCTGAGCTCTGGGCGCAGTACTGCGCTGAAAATTTCAGATTAAAACTGCCACTGATAGAAGGAAAAGAGGCCCCTTTTCTGCCTCCCCACTTCGAGCTACTCTCTGAAGACTGGAGAAGGGACCCTCTTAATAATATTAGGGGGGTGGGCAGAGGAAGGACTAGACTATAGCTTTCAACTTTTCCCTTTTCTTGTGAGAATCCTATTCGGAATAAGGGTATTTCCCTTAAAAAAAAGGGAAACGTTGACAGCTATGGACTAGACCATGTGAAAAATGAACATAATATTTTAGCTGCAGTGCATTCATTTTCAGCTTTCTATTCTTGTTATAAAAAAAGAAAGCGCCTAGACATTCCATTGTTGCACCTATAACCAAGGTTTAAGGTACCATCCCTGACCACTGGTCCTGTTAGCTAGGGATGATGGGAATTGTAGTCCCAAACATCTGGAGGGCTGGAGTTTGCTTATGCCTGCAGTCTGGCCTTTTTGCCTCAAGCAGGGCCAGCCCTGGTTGTCTCCTGCTGAACAACAGAAGCTCTCTGCTTGGTTTGCCAACTGTGAAATAAGCATTTTAAGTTACAGAACAAACCCTTTTAGCAGCAGCAGATATCCGCTGGCCTACCATAACTTTACTCCTAATCCCCTGCTTCCTCACTGTTCACTACAGCACCGACGAAGCTTCATAAATGGGTGAGGTGCAATATCATCACTTGTTTCTTTTCCTCCTATTCCTTCATTTTTTCATTTTCCAACGGCTTTTTAAAAAAATTGCTGCAGACCTACAGTCTCAACCTTATGAGTCATCGGCATTACTCATCCTGTCAGCTAGACACCAGCTGTTCTCTCAGGGATAATTCGCTAGACGAGATGTGTCCTCAGAATGGCGATTCACGGTCCCTTCTCAAAGTGGGAGGGCAGAGAAGCGAGTAACAGGTTCCAGGCATCCTTGCAAAAACATCGGCCGCTATTTTGTGCTGGGAGCAACACAGCACACGAAAAGGCACTCAGAAACACTGGGGGTGACTAAGGAGCCTGGCAGTAAAAGCGAGGCACGAGGCTGCCGCAGAAAAGATCAATCTAGCATCTTCTGTTCCCTGATACTCTAATGCCACAAAAACACACAGGCTGATATCACCACATCACAACTTTCTACAAACCTACTTTGCATCAGCTGACGGCACTTGTGGGGGTGAGGAAACTCAAACCCTGTGCTGAAATCACATTACACATTTTGCACAGCCAGATACAGGCATGGAGCTGATGTTTTCGGTGGTAGATATTGTGATAGGAATTCTGAGGTCTTAGATCTATGTTAAATGTTCATAAGTATACCAGCCAAGCACGTACATAGATCAGCACAGGAAAACCGACCTGAAACCATTTTTGATTCCCAAACTGACCAAATGTTTTCTCTGCAAGGTCAAAGGAAAATGGAAAAGCCTCCCCATTGTCTTTTCCTTCACAAATCCTGTCTTAAGGGCACATTTAAGATATGAATAGGGTGTGAGGCTGTGACCGGGCTCAGGAACTAAGTATTTATTATTACAAAAGACTGGCCAGGCTCCCCAGGCAATCCAAACAAGTGACCATTAAACAGATAACCTGGCAGACAGGAAAAACAACATTCAAATTTCTGTTGTAGACCACCTTTTCTGTGATGTAGATATGTGGGGGGTGGTCTTAGGTTACACCTCTTCTGTGATGTATGTATGATGTATGGAGGGGTGGTCTTGAGCTCCAGGGCAGGGAAATTAAAATGTCTATACAGTGGTACCTCTGGTTACATACACTTCAGGTTACAGACTCCGCTAACCCAGAAACAGTACCTCAGGTTAAGAACTTTGCTTCAGGATGAGAACAGAAATCGTGCGGCGGTGGTGCGAGGCCCCATTAGCTAAAGTGGTGCTTCAGGTTAAGAACAGTTTCAGGTTAAGAATGGACCTCCAGAACGAATTAAGTGCGTAACCAGAGGTACCACTGTACTGTATAAGGGCTGGCACACCTTTGCTCTGGGTTCTTCCTCCCTCTTGCGTGTGGTGAGTGAGGACCCTGTTGCAACAGATCAATAAAGATCAAGCTTACTAGCTGCTTTGCTTCTCAATATTCTCTGGTTGGCCTCTGCTATTTTTCTCCTACCAATAGGGAACCTACCTAAGGACTCTATATGGGCTCTTGGATACCCCATAAGGGGAAAAAGGGCAGGTTTTTGTTTACAACAACGGTATCCGCCGTGCATGCGAGGACCAAAGATTATTTGAAAATGGGACAATATGGAGAACAGGAAGCTTAAGAGTAAAAACAAAAACAAAAACAAACCCCAAACAGCAGGAGCCAGGGGTATAGAGTGGGGGGGGGGAATCGGGGCAGGTGTATTTTTGAGAGGCAGCATGACCAGGCACCCTCCACCCCCCACAAAATCTCCCTCAATAGAGCTTGGCTCTGACGCACAAGGGAGGGAAAAGATGGGATATAAATGCAACAAATAAATATATATATTTCCCCCTCCCCCGGTTGCATGCACAAACCCAGCATTCTACTGTAATGGTATTTACTTACTACATCTAGTTAGAATTCCTTCAAATGAGAGGAAAGAGATTTATTTTTGCCACTTTCCTACTTTAGACAGTACCATATTTTTCGCTCTATAAGACTCACCAGACCATAAGACGCACCTAGTTTTTGGAGGAGGAAAACAAGAAAAAAAATATTCTGAATCTCAGAAGCCAGAACAGCAAGAGGGATCGCTGCGCAGTGAAAGCAGCAATCTCTCTTGCTATACTGGCTTCTGGGATAGCTGCGCAGCCTGCATTCGCTCCATAAGATGCACACACATTTCCCCTTACTTTTTAGGAGAGAAAAAGTGAGTCTTATAGAGCAAAAAATACAGTATTTCCTCTTAGTGATATATCCCACTTCTCCCCCCTCCCCTCCCCCCACCAGATGGCTTAGTCTAACTAAGGAAGGCTTAAACAGATTTGACTCAAATCCCTACAATTGTCATTGGCTAAGCATTAGCAGCCTGACATTGCTCAAATTCTCCGCGATTCATGTCTTCTCTGTAGGTTTCTTTCTGCTCTGGGTGTCCTTTGCTTCCTGCAGGTGTAATCTGATAGAGAACTGCACCATGATCCTCAACGTACCTGGAGGGTAGGGCAAATCTGCAAATGAAAGGCAACCTCTTCTCCCCAGGGTTACGTTGCTGGACTCTGCTGACCTTTCGGCCCTGCTCTCTTCCTGTTCCCATATTTGCATTAATGCATTTTATTTTTTTCCACAGAGTTTGCATATGTCAGCTTATGCTGTCTCCGAACAGCCAGGAGAGGGCCTTTACCAATCACAGCTGACATCGCTCGTTGGCTTAAAAACACATAACAGGTGGGATGATTTAAAGAGAAATTGCTTAACTGCACATTAAAAATTGTAACTTGCTTTCTAGAAAGGCTAAAGACATGAGCACCAAAGATGGCCTCCATGCTAGTGTTGTAAACAAAATCTGCCCTTTTTCCCTTATGGGGTATCCAAGAGCCCATATAGAGTCCTTACGTAGCTTCCCTATTGGTAGGAGAAAATAACAGAGGCCAACCAGAGAATATTGAGAAGCAAAGCAGCTAGTAAGCCTGATCTTTATTGATCTGTTGCAACAGGGTGCTCCCCTCACACGCAGGAGGACGGAGGAGGACCCCGAACCAAGGTGTGCCTGCCCTTATATAGACATTTTAAATTCCCTGCCCTGGAGCTCAAGACCACCCCTCCATACATCATACATACATCACAGAAGGGGTGTAACCTGACCACCCCCCACAAACATCATACCTACATCACAGAAAAGGTGGTCTACAACAGAAATTTGAATGTTGTTGTTTTTCCTGTCTGCCAGGTTATCTGATAATGCCTTATCTGATTGCCTTTCCTGGTAGTCTGCCCATTCCTTTGAAATGGTGATTACCCAATTCCTGCCCTCCCTCCTTGCAGAGAAAACATTTGGTCGGTTTAGGAGTCAAAATGGTTTCAGGTTGGTACATTTATGAACATTTATTATATATAAAAGACCTTAAATTTTATTATTACACTAGCAACCTCAAAACCACATGTTATGTACTGAAGTTCTCACCCTGGGCCAGCAGGGGGATACTGTAGATAGTTATGCAAATGAAGGATTGAAAGTGACGTTCAGTGATTGGATAGTTTGTATGCAAATGAAGGATCGAAAGTGATGTTCAGTGATTGGATAGTTTTAGAAAGCTGCAACAGTTACATTGTTCTGGAGCTCTATATAAGCAGGCTGACTGAGCTCCTCAGTTCAGTTCTGTTCTGGCATCTGAATAAAGAAGAGCTGTTTGAAGAATCGCTGTCGTCTGATATGTCCACCCACAACTTAACACCACACAATCCACCCACTGCAGTTTTCGTTGTTGAAAATTAGCCACCTAGTCAATGCCAATCTGACTCACCGTGTAAACAACAGCAAATATAACTTACGTATCAGCTGCTTGAAGGAACCACAAGCTTTGGAGAAGTACAGTTGTTTTTTCTAAATGGGGAATCCCAAAATAAGGGCTGAGCATTCTTAGTCGCTGATGAATGCTGGTTGGCAGGGGAGCGGGAAACCTGAAAAGTTGTGCTCTGTAGTGTGACATTTTTGTTGCAGGTCCCACCTGTAGAATTTAAACCAGGGGTCAGCAACCTTTTTCAGCAGGGGGCCAAGCCACCGTCCCTCAGACCATGTGGTGGGCCAGACTATATTTTGAAGGGGGAAAAAATGAACAAATTCCTATGCCTCACAAATACACCAGAGATGCATTTTAAATAAAAGGACACGTTCTATTCATGTAAAAACACACTGATTCCTGGACCGTCCGCGGGCCAGATTTAGAAGGTGATTGGGCCGGATCCAGCCCCCAGGCCATAGTTTGCCTATCCATGATTTAAACATTATATTTTGCAGATAAAGTTACTTTTCAGCACAAGGATCTCTCTCTTTGCCCAGTGGAACATTCTCCCCCTCTCCTCTTCTCTCCTGGCCCCTAAATTTGTTCTGGGGGTTCCCTCCACCCTCCAGAGCAGATTTGGGGGTCAGCACAGGTTTTGCTGGGGGTGCGGTGGCGAGTCCTGTTGTGCTAGTAGCACTAATCCATGCACAACTATTTAATTGAATACCGCCTACTAAAAATGGCTTCACCCCCCTGTAGTCCAAAGTGGTACAGTCCTCCACATTCTGCTGCACATGCAGACCAGGCCGAAATCCAATAATTATTCGAAAAGCTTTCCAGAATTAACCAGGGACACCTGTCATAATTTGCATCCTAGCTCAATCATTTACCTCTCCTCAGAGCATTCTGATCAGGGCCGGATTTAGGTTTGATGAGGCCCCCGAGCTACTGAAGGTAATGGGGCGCCTTTCTATGTCCAGCTGTCCTTTGTCAACAACAAATTGTAGCTGTTTTTTGTGTGTTGAATATATGCTATATGGTAATTTATGGACTTAATAGGTATCTAAAGCCATTTGCACATAACAAAATATGTATTTTATCAAAGTAATTGTTGAACTGAAATACAATTAAGAAGAAATACCGTATTTTTCGCTCTATAACACGCACCCGACCATAACACGCACGTAGTTTTTAGAGGAGGAAAATCCGTAGGCATGCCACCCGTAGGCATTCCCTCCATAACACGCACAGACATTTCCCCTTACTTTCTAGGAGGAAAAAAGTGAGTGTTATGGTGCAAAAAATACGGTATATTAATTGTGAAATACAATTAAGAAGAAGTATATTAATTGTGAAATGATTATTAAGCTCTAACTTAAAATGATTTTTTTATTCATAACAAACTTAATAATGCAAACACATTGGCATTTGGCAATAGCAAAACACAGTTTACAAAGACTCATAATCTAGTCTCTAGAAACTTGCTATAACATGAAATAATAATTGTAGGTTTTATTTTATTTGTTTTTTATCTTATATTTTGGAAGTGTGCATCCAGATGTTTTTCCTTTAAATTTGGGGGGGCTCCCAAGAGAATGTGGGACGCGGGTGGCGCTGTGGGTTAAACCACAGAGCGTAGGACTTGCTGATCAGAAGGTCGGCGGTTTGAATCCCCGTGACGGGGTGAGCTCCCGTTGCTCAGTCCCTGCTCCTGCCCACCTAGCAGTTTGACAGCATGCCAGGGCAAGTAGATAACAAATCCATACGACTGGGATGCCCACCAAATTTCACTACCATGATGCCTCTGAAAATCTTGTATTTTCAATTTATTGAACACTTTCATATACTGCAGATTAAAGTTTTACAATCACATAACCAACATACAACATAAAAACAAGATTCCAAGGAATCTCTTAGACTTCCCTCCTCACTTTTGTGGGACCTATTGTTAATCATTTCCTCCTGCGCCTTTTATAATAATCCAAATCTTTCATCTCTCCATTGTATCCAAAATTCACCATTGAACCACAAATGATATTAAAATCCTGCTAACGGTTTTAACTGTTTACAATGGTCTTTAAGATAAGTTATAAATTTTCCCCATTCCTTATTACAATTTTGGTCTTCCTGATTTCTGATTCTTCCGGTCATTTTAGCTATTTCGTCGTAATCCATCAACTTGATCTGCCATTCTTCTCTGGCTGGGCCTTTTATCTTCTTTCCATACTGCTTTTTTAAGGTGACCTCACAAAGTGGTTTACGTGAAGTCATTAAAACGTTGAGCGCCATTGAAAAGCATGCAGCTCATTGGAGGGAAAAGACTAGCAGCTGTTTATGCTGAAGATGGAGGGCTGGCCGCCACTGGGAGCCAGAAGGTGGTGAGGTTCACCATGCCACAACCTCAACCTCTCCCATCTCCTCGGAGCAAGGAGCTTCCGCAGCAGCCGTCGGGCGAGGGATCAAAACGGTGACCTGCCAACGAGGCGTGGGTCTGACTGTAAAAAAATTAATCTGGATTTAGTCGCCGAACACTTTGCTGCTCTCATCAGCTTAATTTTAATAATCTGCGAGGTGAAACTAGGTCATACGAGCCTAGCCTGGAATGATATCATGGCACTAATGCAGGGATCGGAATTTGCGAGGATTGCTGCTTTCGGAGGGCTTAACTGGGCTGAAAGGGAGCAGAGCCACTAACTGTAGAGGGGTTGTTCCTGGCATAGCTTCTTCTTTTTCCATCTGGAACTTGGTTCCAGGTCCTCTCAAATGGGCGCCATCGCAGCTGTAAGAAAACAAGGGAGGCGTTCCTGGTGAGCTCCGGCACCTCTTTTTCTAGAAAAATGGCACCCGTTACAGGGTTGACTGCAAGGGACATGGGTGGCGCTGTGGGTTAAACCACAGAGCCTAGGACTTGCTGATCAGAAGGTCGGCGGTTCGAATCCCCGCGACGGGGTGAGCTCCCGTCTTTCGGTCCCTGCTCCTGCCAACCTAGCAGTTCGAAAGCACGTCAAAGTGCAAGTAGATAAATAGGTACCGCTCCGGCGGCAAGGTAAACAGCGTTTCCGTGCGCTGCTCTGGTTTGCCAGAAGCAGCTTAGTCATGCTGGACACATGACCCAGAAGCTGTACGCCGGCTCCCTCGGCCAATAAAGTGAGATGAGCGCCACAACCCCAGAGTTGGCCACGACTGGACCTAATGGTCAGGGGTCCCTTTACCTTTACCTTTAATACAAAAATAATCTGCATGCCCCCCCCCCCCAGACATCATTTTTTAATTGCATGTTCATTACTGTTTGCGCCTGCAAAGGTTTTGGGGAGGTCACACTGCTGTGAGCAACCAGTGCATGTCCTGTAACTTCTTCCTGTAACCCCATAACTTTTTATAACACAAACGCTCACATTAATTGTGTCCTCTTCTTCCACTGCAGCCAGTCTGGATAGCACTGGGGAAGGATTGCAGAATAAATCCACCACTGTTGCGCTATTACTGCGTTAAGAAAATATTGCAGAACAATCCTGTCCGCAGGCAGGGGCTCTACGGCAGCGCCTTACAAACTTAGAATAACAATGCAGAGTTAAAAACATTAGTTATCAGTACACTAACAAAGCAACAAGCTCAAGAATCACATCAGTGACATCAGCAGCAAAGCAGCAGCATGTAACCCATCAAACACAAAACATCTGGAAAAAGAGGAAGGTCTAAATAAGGCACTGAAACAAGGATGAAGTTCCTTAGTTAAACCCATAAATGCTGCCTTGAGGCCTGTTTTTGCTTTTTTTCAGATGTGTGGTTCTAAATGTGCAAGTATAAGCCAGATTTGAGCAGTTCTAATGGGAACGCTGTACAGCTCTGAAGCAAGAATATAAAGGGGAAACAAATGTATTTATCCAACAAACATGTTGCAATACACGTCCTTTGTTTTTTGTTCTTGTACTGCTGTCATCCTCAAATGGCTCAGAGCTGTTGCTGGCCTCGTCCTCAAAAGTGTCAAATTCCAATTCTAAAAATCACCTTTTGGAATTAAATGACAGCATAAGCTTGTTTTATTTATAAAAATGTGTAGACTGCTTAGTAAACATACCCTCAAAGCAGCTTGCATAAAGTGCTATAAAATACCTAAGACTATACTGACAAAATCAACAGACTTTAGAAACAAGTTGACTTAATAAAATTACCGGTAACAAAATATAGATAACATGGCTGTTCCTCACCCTTTGGCTTGTCAGTTATCTAATGAAATTGCTTATCGCAAAATTTAAAACTGATGAAATTGCTTATTGATCCAGTAAAGTACAACTAACCCAAGATCGCACAAGTGCAAAATGTAATCCACGCAAACCCATCTGTCTCAGGAGACGATGGAAGAGTGTGCCTTTGGGGGTGAAGTCAAAACTCACAACTGTTGGAAGGTTGCAGTGGTTGGTGTGGCTGTAGAGGGAGAATCTCTTTAAATATATTTTTTCTATACTTTGCTTATTTGTACTTTGTGTTTGTAAAACTAATAAAAATTATTTCAAAAAAGCAGTTCAAAAGCATGTCAGTGCAAGTAGATAAATAGGTACCACTGCGGCGAGAAGGTAAATGGCTTTTCCGTGTGCTCTGGTTTCCATCACGGTGTTCTGTTGCGCCAGAAGTGCTTTAGTCCTGCTGGCCACATGACCCGGAAGGCTGTCTGTGGACAAATGCCGTCTCCCTCGGCCTGACAGCGAGATGAGCGCTGCAACCCCATAGTCACCTTTGACTGGACTTAACGGTCCAGGGGTCCTTTACCTTTTTACCTTTACTGTACATGGAGGAACAAGGCAACCTAGTCAGGGCTCCAAATCCATTTCCATGAGGAAGATTGAAGGCTGAAGTTCTGAGGTTCACAGGTTCTGTTCATGAGTTCCTGTGAGATTTCCTGGGACTAGTCAGAAGAAGTGTTATATCAAAACAAGCAATATTCTGAACAGTGAGGTACAAGCTTAGATTCTCTAGAATAGAGAATGTGTATTTATACGGGAAATGCCAGGAATAGCAGCAGGCTGCCAGTAGAGAGAGAGAGAAGTCTTTCAAACATTACTCACGTGGACAGCTTTGCAATAAAGGGCCAAATCTCTTCTTCCCAAAACACCAGACCCATTCAGGATGAGAACAAAAATCGTGCAGCAGCAGCGGGAGGCCCCATTAGCTAAAGTGGTACCTCAGGTTAAGAACAGTTTCAGGTTAAGAACGGACCACTAGAATGAATTAAGTTCTTAACCTGAGGTACCACTGTATACCTGAAGGAGCATCTCCACCCCCATCGTTCTGCCCGGACACTGAGGTCCAGCTCCAAAGGCCTTCTGGCAGTTCCTTCACTGTGAGAAGTGAAGTTACAGGGAACCAGGCAGAGGGCCTTCTCGGTAATGGCGCCCGCCCTGTGGAATTCCCTCCCATCAGATGTCAAGAAAATAAACAACTACCTGACTTTTAGAAGACATCTGAAGGCAGCCCTGCTTAGGGAAGTTTTTAAGGTTTGATGTTTTATCATTTTTATTATTAATAATATTAATATTCTGCTGGGAGCCACCCAGAGTGGCTCGGGAAACTGGTATAAATAATAATTATATTATTAATATCCTTGCTTTTTCATTTTATAGAAGTTAAAGTTTAAGTGCCATGTTAGGTACTGACTTAATTTTGTTTTTCAGCTTACAGTCAGAATGCAGATAATAATCCTTCTTCTCCTTCTGTTAATGTACTTCCAGTGCACATCCCATAGCACTGGCATAATTTGTGTGGTAATATGCCATGTCCGTACTAAGAAAACCACCTAGGTGTGGTGTCACATTATTGCTGCTGCGATTGCTAGGTAACATGACGACATATGGTTGCCCCGTATGTCCTTTTGATTTACAGTACTTGTCCGGTTATGTAACACACACACAGTATTCCAGTTCTCACCGGTATTTATTTGAATAAGCTGATGAATCATTCAGCCGTGGTATAGGAAGTGAATATGGGCACAACTTCTTTGATCCGCAAGCAAGTTCTTCTTTACCTAGAAACTTTGGCCAGTGGCACTGACTACTGGGGCCAGTTAACTGGCGGAGGGTATGGCAAAGTGCCAACTTGCTTTAGGCAAAACTCCCGGAAGAAGAGATTCAGAAATGAAAGCCTTTCTCCTTTCAGAAGACTGTGGGTTTCTCTATTGCTGTCTTCCCTATATTTCCCTCATGTTGTTGTTGTTTAGTCGTTTAGTCGTGTCCGACTCTTCGTGACCCCCTGTACCAGAGCACGCCAGGCACTCCTGTCTTCCACTGCCTCCCGCAGTTTGGTCAAACTCATGCTGGTAGCTTCGAGAACACTATCCAACCATCTCGTCCTCTGTCGTCCCCTTCTCCTTGTGCCCTCCATCTTTCCCAACATCAGGGTCTTTTCCAGGGAGTCTTCTCTTCTCATGAGGTAGCCAAAGTATTGGAGCCTCAGCTTCAGGATCTGTCCTTCCAGTGAGCACTCAGGGCTGATTTCCTTCTTCTTGCAGTCCATGGGACTCTCAAGAGTCTCCTCCAGCACCATAATTCAAAAGCATCAATTCTTCGGCGATCAGCCTTCTTTATGGTCCAGCTCTCACTTCCATACATCACTACTGGGAAAACCATAGCTTTAAGTATACGGACCTTTGTCCCTATTTTTCCTCATATCCAGTACTATGTTGAAAAATGGAATCTTGTATCATGACGACAGTGAGTCGGGGGCTACGAACACACCATACATTTAAATCTCATGGCTTCCCACCCTCACAAAGCTACAGTCCCCAGGATTTGGGGGGGGGGGGTAATATGCTTTAATGACATGCTGTGTAGCCTGAACCTGTTTGGTTGTGAAAGACTCCCTCTGAAAGTTGAGAGGAAAAGGGATTCTACTCTGGGAGCTTGGGATGAGAGGCAGACCCCCCACACACACACCCTGATATGTCCCCCTATGAGTTGCTGGGAACTTCCAAGGGAAAGAGCAATGTTTCCCCCCTCAGGAAAACATCAGGACCTCGGCAGCAATTACTCCAATCCCAATTAGACTTATTACAGAACTGGTTAGCTGCTTAGCAACAGCACACCTCGTGCCACAGTAAGGAGCAAAGACTGCTATGCTTAACAGATCTGGAAACAAAGGGTCAATATAGGCTGTAGGTGGGCATAGAAAGAAATTAGCACAGCAGTTTCATAGATTTAGATGGGCATTTTTCTAGTGCCATATAATGTTGCATCTCCGCATCATTTTTATGATGTATGGGACGCGGGTGGCGCTGTGGTCTAAACCACCGAGCCTCTTGGGCTTGCCGATCGGAAGGTCGGTGGTTCAAATCCCTGCGATGGGGTGAGCTCCGGTTGCGCTGTCCCAGCTCCTGCCAACCTAGCAGTTCGAAAGCATGCCAGTGCAAGTAGATAAAAAGGTATCACTGTGACAGGAAGGTAAACGGTGTTTCTGTGCACTCTGGT